AGATGATCTTCCGCCTCAACCTTCCAAGTAGCTGGAACTACAGATGCACACCGCCATGCCCAGCTAATTTTTTTATTTATTATAGAGATGACATCTTGCCAAGTTGCTCACACTGGTCTCGAACCCCTGGGCTCAGACAATCCTCTGGCCTCAGCCTCTCAAAGTGCTGGGATTGCAGGTGTGAGCCACTATGCCCGACTTTTGCTTCTCATAATTAACAGCCAGTCACGTGGATCCAGAAAGTGGGAAGGAGGAGAAAAGTTTGATTTACAAGAATAATGTGGATTGCCTGAGCCCGCGGGTTCAAGACCCGCCTGGGCAACTTGGCGAGCCCTCACCTCTACAAAAAAATCAGCCGGGCGCGGTAGCGCATACCTGTAATTCCGGCTTCTTGGAAGGCTGAGGCCAAAGGATCGCCGGAGCCCGGCAGTTCGAGGCTGCGGTGGCCAGGAGCGGCCACTGCACTCCAGTCTGGGCGACAGAGTGAGACTCCAACTCAAAAGAAAAAAAAAAAAAAGAATGACGACCTTGAACACACAGGGATCCTGCCCGCCAACCTGAGAAACAGACTCTAACCCAAACAGAGCAGCCATTTTCCCAATATGGAGGACTTAGTGAGAGGGGAACTTAGTGAGAGGGAGGTTGAATGGAAATTCCCCTTCTTCCTAGATAGAAGCCTAAATGTGAGGAAAGAAGGAAGAGTGTCTCTCGAAACTAGCAGTATTCCTTGGCAGTACTGACTGCCCACTTGGGATGGGTTATAATTAATTCATCGTGACCCAGCCTGCCCAGCTGAGTGATTTTCCCCCCAGAAACATTCAGCTGCATGCTGCACTGATAGAGTTTTCCCAGCTGAATGTGATAGAAGGGAGCTTACATTTAAGATATGGAAGAAGGCAAAGAGAGGGAGGGCATAATGGCTCGAAAGTGATGAAGTTGGTCAGGAGACTAGCAATCTTGATGAAATTGAAGAATTGTCACAGTAAAAAGATAGGCTGACAGCCTGTGATGTCCTGATATTTTTAGTGTATAAATCTGCAGCTTTCGAGGCAATTAGTGTTTCTGATGATGAAAAGGAAATGAATGAGAAAGGAAGAACAGCGAGAAAGGCTCACTCGAGATGAGGAAGTCAAGAAACGGAGAGGTGACATAGGGCGGTGCATCCAAATGGATGTTGAAATCAGCAAGCAAAACGACAGGAACTGAGGAAGAAAAACAAAGCAAAGGGCTAAAGTCTTTAGTACATGAGAATGACCAAGCAGTTGGCAGATGACAGAGCCAGATGGCCTAAGCCTCAAAGGAGCAGGGATTTTTTTTTTTACAACAGGGGTTGGGAGAGAATAATTGTCTGGAAGTTGCACTGGGGAAACAGAAGCCATCCCCTCCTAGTTCTAGAGAAAGAGCAGCATGAGTGAGCTGTGTTCCTGGCTCACTCCGTTACCTAGAGTGGAGTGCAGGGGAAGGGGTGTCTTGGGGACCAGCAGTTTCCAGCTAAGGCAAAGAGGCGAGAGAACATTCTGATAGGAGACTGCACCTTCAGAAATGGGATACGATTTGCTGATAGTGTCACCTTCAAAGTAAAGAACAACCAGCAGATTTCTTTTATAATAAAAACCGGATCTTCCGCTTAAGAGGGACAAGGGCTGCTAGGAGTCTGTAACCCTGACCCGTGCACTCCACAATTCACCTTCCCATCATGTCACCATCGGGCTGCATTTGGGGTGTTTTGGCCAGGCATGGTAACTCACATCTATAATCCAGCACTTTGGGAGGCCAAGGCAGGAGGATTTCTTGAGCCCAGGAATTCTACACCAACCTGGGCAATATAGTGAAACCTCATCCCTACAAAAATTATTTTCAAAATTAACCAGGCATGGTGGCACGCACCTGTAGTCCCAACTACTCACAAGGCTGAGATGGGAAGATCACTTGAGTCCAGGAGGTCCAAGGCTGCAGTGAGGCACTGCACTCCAGCCTGGGCAGCAGAGTGAGACCCTGTCTCCAAAAAATAAAAATAAAAACAAAATATATAGCACCAATGTAAATGAATGCATTACTTGTAGGCTGCCAAAGATGATAGGAGATTTTTCTTATTGTCAATTTCTGTATGGTACTATAGTCCTTGACAAGTTTTTTTTTTAAATAGCCACTTGGGAATCTGTCTCCTAGGAATTCTGCGGAGATCAGGGAAGCAGGAGAAATAGAAAGAAAAGGGAGGTAAAATACTCTTCATATTCCCACAACAAAGGTAACTGTGAGGCACTGAACTGAACCGTGATTCCAGCAGTGAGGACAGTGAAGGAATTTGAAAGTAGGAGGACCTGAGAGCACCAGACAACCCTGGAGTCTCAGGCAGGTAGTCAGAGGAGTCTACTTGCAGATCATTGACAACTTGGGAACAGACATGTGGGATCTCTGACTCAAACGACATTTAGCACGCTCCCGCTTCAAGAATGTTAATTAATCCAGTATAACAAACATTTAATGACATCTGTCATTTGCCAGGCAAGATGATAGTTAGATACTTGGGTGGAAAACGTTTGACCCTCAAGGAGATTGAGTGGGAGACAGCAGGAAATCCAGCCAACACGTTATGCAAGCTGATGCCGTCAGAATGGCAGCATGCAACGGCTTGGTGGGACTGCAAGAGGCGTGCCTAGGAGTGGAGTCAGTGGCAGGGAAGTCTTCTCAGATGCTGGGATGCTTGAGCTGGCTGCTGAGGGGACTCAAGACATCCTAGATGGGGAAAACAACATGTAAGGGCAAGAAACAGAAAACCTAGTCTCATGATTCAGCCAGGAGACAGATGGCACAATCGTATTGACTGAAGAGTTTTTGTTGTTGTTGTTGTTTTTGAGTAGGAGTCTCACACTGTTCCTCTGGCACTAGAGCAGTAGCAGCCTCAACTTGCTGGGCTCAGGTGATCCTTCGGCCTCATCCTTCCACGTAGCTGGAAATCCAGGCACATACCACCACACCTGGCTAATTGTTTGATTTATTGTAGAGATGAGGTCTTACCAAGTTGCCCAGGCTGGTCTTGAACCCCTAGGCTCAGGCAATCCTTTTGTGAATATCGAGGTCTTTTAATACAGGAACAGACAAGCCTTGATAGACTCTTAACTCCATTACTTCCTAGCGTGGTAACTTTATACAAGACATTTAGTAGTCTACACTTATTACTGACTTATCTGTAAACCGGGTTTAATAATAACACCTACCTCAAAGAACTTTTGTGAGGATTAAATAGCATAATGTGCATAAAGTATTTAGCCCCAGTGCTTGGTACCTGCTAAGCCCTCAAAACTTGCCAGATATTAGGTCACACACACATTAGCGGTGCCCCCAGAATGCAGCATGAAAGATGCAAAGAATCACACAGAAGTTAGATTGGAAAATATCGTTTATTTAAAAAGTAAATGAGAGAGTAAGAGGAGGTCCACCTCCTCAAGCCAGGGAACATGGTGACAGCCGTAGCTCAAAGGGCACATGGCCACACCAGGGTCTAGAAAGGCAATGGCCTGAAAAGAGTTTAATGAAGTGACTATTTCCAGAGACGGTCAAGGTCAAGAGCACCAGCACAGGATGGTGAAGCATTCAAGGATAGCAACAATGGGAAGTCATCAACCACCCGGCTGGAAGAGGCAAGGAAACAGAATGGTCTTACCAGAAGCTGGTGACAGCTATGGCCATGCAAGAGGGAAGCCTGATTGGAAGCAGAGGAATAAAACCACTGCTGAGCCATAGCCTGGCAGACACAAAGGGATGAAAACTACCCTGACTTCTCTTTCCTCTGATCGCCAGCCGGCGCCTCCCGTTGGCTGACCCTCGCGGCAAGCCAGAGGGCAAGGGGCCTTGGGAAAACTAGCTGTAAAGACCGGCTACCTGAAGCCCAGGGGAAGCCTAGATCTGGAGAAACCCACAGTCATCCACACACTCAGATGAGTAGCCCAGGTCCGGTCTCCGGTTTCTTGACAAATACAGCACAGGACTGTACCTGAAATGAATACTGCATAAGCCTGCTGGCTTAGTCGGTCTGGGCTGCTGTGACAAATTACCTCAAAGTTGGGAGTCAGCTGACAGAAATCTATTTCTCCCAGATTTGGAAGCCACAAGTCCAAGATCGGAGCGATCAGGATACCGGCAAGGTCAAGTTCTGGCGAGCACCCCCTTCTGCATTGCAGTCTTCCTGTTGTATCCTCACACGGTAGAAAGAGGACTGGAGAGCTCTCAGGGGATGAATCTCTTTTATGAGGATACTGATCTCACTCACGAGGGCTCCACCTTCAGGACCTAAATCACATCCCTAAGGCCCCATCTCCTAAAGCCATCACATTGCAGATTAGGATTTCAACATAAGAATTTGGGAGGGGCACAGACATCCAACCCATCATGCTGTCCTGTCCATTTTTCCCAAATGGATGGAGAGAGGGGCTCGTTGAATTTCGTGGCAGGAGAGGGTCGTGAGAGCTGGTTTGTGTGTGACCTGTGCCCTGCATACAATCTTTCTGTATGCCTGCTTCTAGCCACAAGGATGTAATAATTATCCCGTCAGATTTTTAAAAGCAAAGCCAAATAATCATAAGACACCAGGAGATGGCATACTCTGTAAGTGCTTATTTGTCTATCTAAAAATAACTACATACTACAGGCTGCACGCAGTGGCTCAACGCCTATCATCCCAGCACTTTGGGAGGCTGAGATGGGAGGATTGCTTGAGTCCAGGAGTTCCAGACCAGCCTGGCCAACATAGTGAGGCCTCATTTCTATAAAATAAATAAATAAATAAGTGAACCATTGCTTTAATGTTCTGTCACTGGATGAAACTTGCCTATTGTCTCATAGAGTACTTTTGTTCATTTAAGATACCTCGTGGATTACTTGTAAATTCTAGTTAAATCACATTGAGGTATCTTCAAATTTTATTATGGTGCTACCTTGTTTGAAGGAGGGGAGAAATAACACGTCGTCCTGATGCAACCCTTTTTCTCTTTATTTTTCAGATCCATAACTCGATCTTATTACCGCAACTCAGTTGGTGGATTCTTAGTGTTTGACATTACTAACCGACGATCTTTTGAGCATGTGAAAGATTGGCTAGAGGAAGCAAAAATGTATGTGCAGCCGTTCCGGATTGTGTTTCTGCTGGTGGGACACAAGTGTGATTTAGCTTCACAGCGTCAAGTTACCAGGGAAGAGGCGGAAAGACTGTCAGCAGACTGTGGCATGAAGTACATAGAAACCTCAGCCAAAGATGCCACAAATGTCGAAGAATCCTTCACAATCTTGACAAGAGACATCTACGAACTCATTAAAAAGGGAGAGATCTGTATTCAGGATGGCTGGGAAGGGGTTAAAAGTGGTTTTGTTCCGAATACTGTGCATTCTTCCGAGGAAGCCGTGAAGCCCAGGAAAGAGTGCTTCTGCTGACATCAGACGTGCCAAAGAACTACGGCAAGCAGACCGGGTGTCATTTCAGGATGAATACCCACATTAACAGCCGAATGTTGCCATGAAAGCGTTCAACAAGAGTAGAAACCCACACTAACACTGTTTTGTAATGTATTTGATCAGAGCACTATGCTTACTTGTTACACTACCAGGTTGGGTATTTTGCTAAATTATCAGGCAAAACACAATTTTTTCTTGAAACTGGAGTATCCCCTTAATTACCTCCATGCCCACTTTGTTGGCATACAGCTGACCTTAGTGTCCAGATATGTCAGTAGTACTCATTTTTCTTGACAGTTCGAAAAAAGTTTTTCTGGTACAATAATCTAATTGAAAAGATTGTATCAGGAATTAATTCTCCCGAATTAATTAATTAATATTGAATAGTAAAATGCATTTAAAAGGACACTATTTACTTACAAAGTAAACAATCTCAGAAGTGTCAACTAGGACTTACATAAGCAGTGTCTTGTTTAAGGTACCAGGTGTTCTTTTACCATTCTCTGAAATGTTTTTCCCCCCTTAATTTTGCCTGAGCATAAGAAAATAAGTTTTATATTCATTTTTGTTCATTTAATTATTGCTCCTAAAATTTTTGTTTTACCAGGATATCTAAGGATCCAAGCAAAATATTTTATATAAAAATAAAAACAGAGGGCCACTCAGCAGCAGATGTTTTGATGTTATAATATACTGTTTGTATTTATACAAGATAAGCAAAAATTTTTTATATACTGACATTTTCAAAAGTAGATGCAATTTATCTTGAACTGTCAAAATTATCAATATAGGTAAACAGAATGTTTTCAGTAATAGCGTTTTTGTTCAAGTGAATTTCTAAATTTCCCCATTTCTAGTACAAGAAGAATATAGAAATGATTTTTCCGGACAAGGAAAATTGGTTAAATGTCTGATGTATTTAGCTTTCAAATTGCATTTTACAATCTCATCAGTACAAGGTGAAAATAGAATAATCAGTTAAGGCAGTAAAATGACTTTTGAGTTTCCTAATATTTTTTTTTTTTGAACTGGAGTCTCACTCTGTCGCCCAGACTGGAGTGCAGTGGCCGCTCCCAGCCACCGCAGCCTTGACCAGCCGCTGGGCTCCGGCGATCCTTCCGCCTCAGCCTTCTGAGTAGCCGGAATTACAGGCATGCGCTACCACGCCCGGCTGATTTTTTGATTTATTGTAGAGATGAGGTCTTGCTGCCCATGTGGGTCTCGAACCCGCGGGCTCAGGCAATCCACTCACCTCAGCCTCCCAAAGGTGCGGGATTACAGGCTGAGCCCCCAAGCCCGGCTGAGTTTCCTAATTTTTATCTTATTGATTAAACTCTCCTAGAAGGGACATTCTGATCACAATGTCAAATATTCTATAATGTACATTTCCATTCTGCTCTGTAAATTATTCCTAATCACAAAGAAGCACCACGTGACGCTGCCTTTTTAGAACAATAAGGTTTTTACTTTTAAACTGGAGTTGCTTCATTTGTTTGAAAACCAAAGTGGCACAGTAGAAAGAATATTTAACAAGAAGTCAGAAAACTTGTTTTAAGCTGCCTCTGCTGTGCCAATATTTAACCAATACGTAAGTCACCCCTCGAAGCGCCATTTTTCTCATCTGTAAAGTGAAGCTAATAACCCCATTCTTATTGTGTTTCCTGGAATTATTTTGAGAATCAAGTGAATCATGCAAAAAAAAGCTTTGTAAGTAGAGAAGGCATTTTCCAAAGTGAAAGTGGTTTCAGCTACTCGTGGATGTGCTGTAATATTTACTAAATGGGTGAGAATTTTGTTGTTTCATGTTTTTTCCTTTCATTCCTGTGCAAAGAGAACAGGAAAATGTGTGTGTTTTCACAGACCTGGGGGAATTCTTGGCTGATGCATATCCTCTGCCCTTTGACCCTAAATCACAACTCTTCCAAAGAGGAAAAGGCAGGGAGAGAAGTCCCTGCATTCTTAATTCCATCGAAAGCCGTGTTTCAGTGTTTTTTGTGTATCTTTGAAGTAGATATTTAATTGTATTTTCAAATACTCGTACATTTTCTAGGTTCATGTAAGTATTTTTAATAGTGTTTATGGAGAGAAGAATATAAATTAAAACTATGAAAGTTATGCACATTTATATTATCAGCATTTTCTTGATATCCTTGGGTTAATTTCATGTGAGTTCAAGCTATCATTAACCAGATGAGAAAATAGCTATCTCCCAAAATGTGAAGTAGTCTACTTTTACTGCTATAGTTTGAAATCTTATGCGACACTTTACCATCAGTCCAAAATATCATAAACTCAAATGCTGAAAATCTAACAGCAGTTTCAAGTATAGTCACCTGTGCCTACTTTTAAAGTTAAATAGCTAAGAATAAAATATGATTTAACATTCAGTGGACACCCTTTATAATACTAATGCTGGGGGATTCTCATATTCAGGCTAAAGGATATCATGTGTTCAAAATTTTAAACTAGAACCAAGGAACTGGAAGAAACCCACGAGAGAAGGAAGGGCCCCAAGAAGTCGATATTTACATGAACAGGAGGAAGTCTAGAACTCTGGTTTCCCAACACCTTGGTTGCCATGCTGTCTTGTGTGTGTCAGATGGGGGGGGGGTTGAAGGAAATGGGAAATGGGTTCTAACTGAATCCACACACACACACAAAAAATACCAGAATTGGGTTAAGTGGTTTTTATATTGTAGAGGAACTATTTGTGGTAATAATAAAGTGAATGTTGATGACAAGGTTCTTATACAAGATTGCCCAACGTCTGTATAACATTAGCCACTATCTTGATCCATTTCTATGTTTGAAAAAGCTGACCTATTTTCTTACACATTGTTAGAGAAAATATGGATAATAATGCCAAAATAGTAAAAAAGTTTGCTCCAGGCAAAATGTTTTGACTAAGTTAATTCATTTAACTTAAATTGAAACCTTATTTAAGTTAAAACTAATGAATGATGTAGCTAATTACTAAATATTTTAAGTAAGTGTGGTCTAAAAAAAGAAATGAAAGCTGTTCAGTCATCTAGTAAACTTGTCTCTGACAGACATTGCTCATCTAAGCTGCAGTCACACCTTCAGTAAGCTTAAGCCAAAATGTTTAAGTAATCAGAATGCTTTTTTTGTTTTGTTTTTTGTTTTATGTTGAGTTGGAGTCTCCCGCTGTCACCCAGGCTGGAGTGCAGTGGTGTGATCACGGCTCACTTCAGCCTCAACCTCCTGGGCCCACATCCTCCTGCCTCAGCCTCCTGAGTAGCTGGAACTACGGGTGCACACCCCCACATGCAGCTAGTTTTTTGACATTTTGTAGATCAAAATATCTAGATCTCACTATGTTGCCTAAGCTGGGCTCAAACTCCTGGGCTCAAGCAATCCTCCTGCCTCAGCCTTCCAAAGTGCTGGGATTACACGTGTGAGACATTGCACAGGCCCAGAATGCTTTTAAATGTGACCTTTATATGCATAATACTGGCAGACATGATTTTCTGAGCCTGGAAACATGAGCGTTTACCCTAGATTTCCAAAAGCCATAAGTACTGCATGATTTTTTTGTCTTGTGACAACCAAACAGTCTTATATTGTTAATATAACTTTTCCAGGCCAGGTTCGATGGCTCAGCCTGTAACCCCAGCACTCCGGGAGGCTGAGGCGACTGGATTGCCTGAGCCCACCGGTTCAAGACCAACCCAGGAAACTTGGCGAGACCCCGCTCTCAACAATAAATCAAAAATTAGCCAGGCGTGGTAGCGCACTCCTGTAATTCCAGCTATTTGGAAGGCTGAGGCGGAAGGATTGTCGGAGCCCAGCAGGTTGAGGCTGCGGTGGCCAGGAGCGTGCCACTGCCCTCCAGCCTGGGTGACAGAGTGAGACTCCTACTTAAAAAAAAAAAAAAAAAAAAGAAAAAGAAAAAGATAACTTTTCCAGAACAAAGTCTTTTTATTCACCTTTGCATCATTAAAAAAAATGAACCTATAACTAAAAAAATAATTTTCAGAGTATTTTTGTCAGGTTTTATACTGTCCTTGGTTCAATTAAGAGCAAAACTTGCATCAACTTTGAAGAGTGCACTGTATTTGAATGACTTCCTTAGGTCTGATACAGTGAGGACAGAAACATTCATTTTTTCTAGTTTCTCAAACTAGAAAGATTTAGTTTGGAAATGCAAAGGAAACTTGCGATCTTTACGGAAAAACCGAAAGACTACAAAGCCTTTAAGGTTCAATTCTTTGTATTTTAATATGGTAGAATGTAGTCCCAACCAGAAGCTAATTCTGGGAAATTCCAGAGCAGATAAATAGCCATCTCTGCTTCAGAATCTTGCTAAATCTGAATATTTGCACCAAACTTCCCTGAGCTACAGATCTTCACCTGATCTTAAAATAACTAACAAACTAATCTCATGAACCTGAAAGAACTACTGCATGACCTGGTACTTATATAATGTTAACAACTGATGCAAGCAGACACGTGAGTGCTGAACTATGACAATCTGTATCCATCATTACACAATCTCATTCACTTACTGCACATAATCATGGAAGAAAATTAATGAAAACAAATTTTCAAGGTATAAAAAAATGAGTGCACCTTGTTATCTCTCTGAGTAAGCTTTTTGTCTTTTTAAAAAATAGTGCCTAAAACACGGTCTTATCTGTGTAACATTCAGTGACTACTAATTGGTGGTTATTATGTTGAGTTGATCCTATTGAATGTGAGTTCCACATACTTGGTTTTAATTTATACATTCCATGGAAGAATAAACATGTTTTATTATCATTACCTCTTGGCATTTTTTTTTTCAGAATGACAGTCCATGGAAGATAAGGTATACGCCTTTTGAAGTGTGTTATTCATGTTATCTGCTGGTGAGTTTTTTTGGTTTTTTTGAGTTGGAGTCTCACTCTTTGTCACCCAGGCTTAGAGTGCAGTAGCACGCAGCCTCGACCTGCTGGGTTTAGGCGATCCTTCTGCCTCAGCCTTTCAAGTAGCTGGAACTGCAGACACATGCCACCATGCCTGGCTAGTTTTTATGGTTTATCATAGAGATGAGGTCTCGCCAAGTTGCCCAGGCTGTGGTTCCAACTACTTGGAAGGCTGAGGTGAAAGGATCACCCGAACCCAGCAGGTCAAGGCTGCGATGACCATGAGCGTGCCACTGCACTCCAGCCCGGGCGACAGAGTGAGACTCTGACTCAAAAAAAAAAGAAAAGAAAGAAAAAGAATCAATTAGAGATCATAATACCTTATCTATTACACTATTGCATTATATATTAAATTACATATCATATAATAGGTTTTATGTTCTATATGTTACCCTGGTGGAGTATGCGGCAGAACCCCATAATCAAACATTAATATTTATACAAGATGTGTGAATATTTACACCAAAAGTGATAAGGTTTTTTTTGTTTGTTTGTTTGTTTTTTGAGTTGGAGTCTCACTCTGTCGCCCAGACTGGAGTGCAGTGGCCGCTCCCGGCCACCGCAGCCTCGACCTGCTGGGCTCCGGCGATCCTTCCGCCTCTGCCTTCCAAGTAGCTGGAACTACAGGTGCGTGCTACCATGCTCGGCTAATTTTTTGATTTATTGTAGAGATGAGGTCTCGCCTGCCCAGGCGGGTCTCGAACCCACGGGTTCAGGCAATCCACTCACCTCAGCCTCCCAAA